CCCTTTGGCCCGGTGCCTTTCCCTAGGCGGGGGGGGGGGGGGGGGGGATCAAGAGTCTCCTCAGCCCCTCCCTTCTCTCGGAAGTGAGAGGTTCTGGGTCACACCCACTGCCGGGGTGGCGTAGGGCAGCGGTCACCAACCCATAGACCCGGATCTACTGGTAGATCTTGGAGCCTCTGGCAGGTGACCCTGACGGGTTTGGCCAAGTGGCTCTCAAGTGCCAGCGCTTCTGCTGCCCCTCCCCCCACTGCTGCACATCTCCTGCCCTTTGCCTTGGAGCTGCCCCTTCCCCTGGCGCAGGGCAGGGAAGGGAGAGGAAGATGCTCATGTCAAGGTGCCCCTTCTCACTCTGTATCCTTTCTCCGCAGAGCAGAGAGGGGGGCACAACAGGACTTGGGATGGAGAAAATTTGCTGGTTGCTTTTGAGAGTGGTATAGGGCCAGGGCAGGGGTGAGCCTGCCTTAGCTCCACTGCACCACCACCCAGGAGCCACCTGAGATAGGCAGGGTCCTGCTGGAGTCCCCAGCTTGAACTCTTACCCTAGACATGTCCCAGAGCCTGCACCTAGAACCCCCTCCTACATCCCAACTGCTTGCCCCAAGAGCTGCTCAGAGCCCCTCTCGCACTCCAGATCCCTTCATCCAAGACCAGAGCCTGTATCTCAACCCTCTGCGCTAGCCTGATGAAAGTGAGGAAGGATGGGCAAGAGAGGGAGGATGGAGTGAGCAGGGGTGGGGCTTCAGAGAAGGGACAGGAGGGAGGCGGGACAAGGGTATTTATATTTGAGGTAGATCTTGGACTGCACTTAAATTCAAAAAGTGATCTCATGCTTAAAAAGGTTGGAGACCACTGGTGTAGGGACAACTCTAATAGCCACAAACAGAGCTAGCTTCTCTGAATGCATCCTGTTCTTTTTTGAACCCAGTATGGTTCTGGCTTCCACAGGTGAAGAAGTACTTTCTTGTATTTGTTTAAAATCATTATTAATTTCATTGAGTGACCCTATTTCTTGTGATATGTAAAGGAGTAAGTAATATTTCCTTATTCATTTCCTTCCCACTATTCATGATTTTATAGACCTTTCATATGCCCTCTTAATTGCCTCTTTTCTAAACTGACAAATCCCAGTCTTTTAACATTTATCCTCTGGAAGTTGTGCAGTGCTATACCACTAACTGTTGCCCTTCTCTGCACCTTTTTTAATTCTAATATATCTTTTTTTAGACCGGCTTCCAAAATTGAAAACAGAATTTGAGGTGTGGGCATAGATTTGTATACTGGTGTTACTTTTGTTTTTGTTTTATTAGCTACCTAATTTGTGTTTACAAACATGTCCACAATGAGTGTAAGGTCACTTTCTTATGTGGTAACAACTTAGGTCCAGTGTAGGGGTGTAAAATCCCACTTAACTGGTTAACTGGTTAAAGTCTTGTTTAACCAATTCAAGGGAGGAGGGGAGGACCACAGGCAGAGGCTACTCTGGCTGGGCCAGAACAGTCCTTGTCTGCAGAATGCCCAGGGCCACCATGTACAAAATGATTTTAAAAGTTTATGCAGCTTTTTGATGTTGTATTGTACTAATATAACTAGCACTGAAGTAGTATGTATGAAATCTGAATGTAGACCAGGTCTTAGTAGTTCAGGAGCACAAGTCGCTTTAGTTCTTTTAAAAATCCCAGCTATTCCCTTTCACAAATAAAATGAAGTGCACAGTTAAATAGGGATGTAAATGCTTAAATGATTAACTGGTAAGGCCCACCCTTATTGAGTGAGGCTTATCCGTTCCAGTTAACTGGTAGAGGCTTGGAGCAGCGCCCCCTACCTACTCTGAACAAAGGACTGATTCAGCCCTGCGGGGCCGGCCAGAGCAGCCTGTGTTTGTGGTGGGCCCAGCCCGAGTGGCATGCTGTAGGGGCTGCCAGCCCCGCTCCTGAGGAGGCTTCCCTGTGGGCTTTGCCGTGTAAAGCTTATTTAAGCTTTATACTGCAGCACATGTAACCACTAGGATTTTTTGCGTTTACTCGGTTACATTTTTTAATTATTTTAAGTTGCTCATGAAATTGCAATCTGGTTTAACTATGTTTTTGGGTCTGATGTTTCAGATATAAACCTGTCAGCATTTGAGTCAGCCTCCCATTTGCTGTTGAATATTCATAAATATACTCTTCTTCTTTTTTTCTTTTTTTTGGCAGTATAATAATGACAGTGAAGAGGACATGTTTGGTGACTATGACAGCTTTTCTGGAAATGATTCTTTGTTAGCTCAAGTTGATAATATGGAGCAAGAATGTATTCAATCTATTGACATGACTTCATATACTAAAAACAAGGAAGACCAAGCTGTTTCAGAGCCCATGTTTGAGGATCTTCAGTTACAAAATGCCAAAAGCATGGAACTAGTTTTTTCTGCTGCAGGAAATGGTACAGGCTTCAAAACTGAAGAAGGGAGTAATTTCTGGAGGACCACAAATGAACAAGAGAACAGGGCTCTAGACTCTGGAGACTGTATTTCAGAAGAGTTGCCATCTTCACAGCTTCTATATTTTCAGGAAATGAGTAAGACCTCAGTTGATTCTAGAAAACCATCAGATACAAAAGAGCGTGGTAAAGACATGAATTTTTGCCTTGATAAAATGTTGAATCAGTCTTGTCCCCATAATGCAGAACACAACAAAATAAATAATGTATTGTCCCCAAGCACCACATCCAGCCTGAGTAAAAGACAGAGTCTCAAAGATCACCTCAAAAATACTATGACTGGAAATGCCAAGGCTCAGACTCCACAATTTTCTAGAACTAAACAGCTCAAAGAAGCTGTTCTGTCAGAAGAAATTTGTGTTGCCAAGAAAACCATTGAAACGTCTTCTGTTGACATTGGCCCATTTTATGGGTTACCCAGTAAAGTTAAAGATCTCTTAGTCCGCTTCCGAGGAATTGAGAAACTTTATGGTAATATCCATAAAATTTTTGTTTAAAAAAAATCAGTTGTTTGTTCATGGGTTAGTGGGTATAATATTTCCAGTGAATTGATCCAACTTTTTCATCATGTATTTATGGAAACAAAATTTCTATTTTAAGTTTCTGGACCCTAAGATTGTTGGGTGGTGTTAGAATTTGTGTACTTAGTTAAAATTAAGGTAAAACCCCTCAAAGAATGCTGCAGATTTTAACTAAGGTAAAACCCCTCAAAGAATGCTGCAGCTCAAGAAGTGGAAAGCAAGGAAACTTAAAGTCACTGTTAAATTTTTTTCTCAATATTAAAAAATGTCAATGGTAATTCTGTTTCACATCTACCTTAAGCGTTAATTGTGAGAGATTTTTTTTTGAGGACTTAAAAGCACAATAAACTTCACATCTACCTTAAGTGTTAATTGTGAGAGATGTTTTTTGAGGACTTAAAAGCACAATAAAGTCTTACTAAAATCGTAGTTGAAGTGAGTTGCAGGAGAGAGAAGGTTTCTATTTATCACTTTTGTTAAGAAATTCTGGAAGGTTATTTTTCTTAGTATTTGTATATAGCTTGTAAGAAGACTAAAGTTACATCACTGTAGGTACTTAAAGCTGTAGGTTCCTGTTTTTGTTTTATGGTAAGATCGAATTACTTGGTCAACAGAAAATATAGTGGCTAAGAAGTTCTCATCCAAGTTAGGGACTGTGAATGGGTAACCAGTTGACCAGTAAGCATCACCCTTATTGGGTCATGCTTACAGGTAATGGTTAATTGGTATCTGGGAGAAGACCCCTGACCACAGTCTGAGAGCTGCTCCAGCTGCGGGGAGGGGTGTGCTCCAGCCCCTCCACCGGGCCCCCTTTTAAACAGTTAACCAGTTAAACACTATGATTAACTGGTTAATCAAACAGTATTTTACATCCCTAATCCAAATCACCTCAACTTCTGTTGTACCTAAAGAATAAAAACACTAATTTCTCAGTTTATGGCAGTCCTATCTTCACTTGGAAAGCTGAGAGAGGCTTTGCCAACTGCTTTGAGATTGTATTTGTATCAAAGGTAATGTCATGTTCAGTAAACCCGCTAATGTATTGTCCTGTTCTGTGATTCCTGTAGATATACGTAATTTACATGCAAGATTGTCTGCTGGGTTTTAAGGGATGTATTGTCCTGTTCTGTGACTCCTGAAGATATACGTAGTTTACATGCAAGATTGTCTGCTGGGTTTTAAAGATGTGCAAGTGATGATACGTGGGTGGAATTAAGATTGTGTAGGTTGATCTAATGGTTCTTTTAAACATTACCAAAGCATAGCTTTTCACTTAATCAAAAAAATTGTATTTCACAAACTGAAGACTAATTCTTAAATAGTTTCAGGTCATACAAAGCTGTATATTTTGGCAAATAAAACTACTAATCAAAAAGAGTTTGCCCAACTGTGCTTGAGGACGCTGTTTTTAATTTCTCCCTCTGAAATATGTTTAACCATCTAAGTAATCTGAATGGCAGGATGTTGCTGTATGAGCTTTAATAAAAGTATGCAGAATGGAGCTGTCTATATATAGTATATTTAAAATATTTTTTTCTGTACAAGAAGAAAGATTGGAAAGATGGATAAACAGAAATGTTCAGTACTTTATCATCTAAAAAGGGCTTTCACTGGTAGAGGGCAAAATAATTTTTCTTTTAATTTTACAGAGTGGCAGCACACTTGCTTAACATTAGAATCTCTGCAGCAAAGAAAGAACTTAATATATTCATTGCCAACCAGTGGTGGAAAAACACTTGTAGCTGAAATTTTAATTCTTCAAGAATTACTCTGCAGACAGAAAGATGTTTTAATGGTTCTGCCATATGTGGCTATTGTCCAAGAAAAGGTGTGGAAATAGTGTTTTGGTTTCTTTATTATTCTGAAGTGAATATTACTTTTTATATATGCATTTTTTTTTTACTGGTGTTGGAAAATTAACTGTAAATATTTTAAGCTCTCTGTTAAAACGTAGAACAGTTCTGATGAATATAGTCTTGAATAAATATCAGCCTGGAAATTTTTTTTAAAATAGTTTTTCGAATTCAGTTTAGAGGCTGTCAAACTATTTTTGTGATGAAGTGTACATTGGCTATAAAGGACATCCACTATAACAAAGATGTGAAAAATTGGCTTTGCATTGAGCTTTTGGAATGTTATATCTTCAAATCAAAGTCGGTTCTAAAATCCATGTTAACATTTAAATAATCTTGGAAAAAAAGATAATTCACTTATTAGTTACATTAGACAGCTATGTTATGGAGAACAGATTAAATATTTTGTCACTGGTTTGAAAAATGTCAACACATGAAAGGCTTAAGTACTGTACTTAAATATTTTTGTCAGTTATATGCTTTGATTTCACGGTAGTCCTTTGTTCAAGTAATAATTCTTATTGTCAGCTGTATTATTGCATAAAATATACATTTTCTGGCCTCAAACTTGAAATTACCTCTGCATAAAGTTATCTGCAGGATCAAAGTAATTAAATATGAACATTAATTTAACTTTATGCAGAGGTAATTTCATCTGCAGGATCAAAGTAATTAAATATGAACATTAATTTACTTTTCAACTAATGTGTTCTTTTTATATACTATTGTATTGTAGGTTTGGGCCTTATCAAGTTTTGGAATAGAGCTAGGCTTCTTGATTGAAGAATATGCAGGAAGTAAAGGAAGATTTCCTCCAATCAAAAGGAGAATGAAGAAATCACTGTACATTGCTACTATAGAGAAAGGACACAGCCTAGTGAACTCCTTGATTGAAACAGGAAGAGTTAGTGACCTGGGTTTAGTCGTAGTAGATGAGGTTTGTTATATAACTTGCAACAGGTTACTAGTAGATATGTTGTTTTATTTACAAAATAGTTACAAGAAAAATACACAATTTAAAACTGTATAAATTAGGGATGTTAAAATGTGGGGTTTTTTTTTTTTGTAATTTTCAGTGGTTACATGTTTGAGCCTGGCTCCCACCCCTTCTCCCACGCTGCTGCCTCTGATACAGCAAAGGCTTATCGATTACACTTTCATGTCCCCATTATAAATCCTCTGATCCATATCTGCTTCTTTTAACTATCCAATTTTTAGGTGCTTTTCGATTACCAGTTTTGCCTGTTTGGTTTCCCTTTGATATTTACATACACTCTTCCTCTTGTTTCCCGGCCCCCCTTCCATTTTTTTCCTCCTCCTCTCCCCCTTCTCCCCTATTTATTTTGGGTCTGGACATCCTAAACTCAAAACTCCAGTCTTCTGAAGAAGTGGGCTGTGCCCACGAAAGCTCATGATACCATCTGCATGTTTTGTCTATAAAGTGCTAACAAAATATTGTAAAGTTTTTCACAGATACTGTAACACAAACCTATTGCTTGGCGACTTGGAAAGTATATACGGTTTTTCTTGAGCATTATTGCTCATTTGGGATTGGTGTTTTTGATAATTTAATAGCTCAGTCATCACTGAGATGTCTTCCTAAAAATAGTAGGCCAATATTAATGATCTAAAACTATCTTTAACTGCTTCCACTGAATGTATTTTACTGATCCTTTAACTAGACTGAACATGTTTCTGTGTATGATATTAACTGCTTTTGATCACATGATTTCCTGGGAGTCCGTTTGTAGCATCTAAGATGGTAAAGGAATAGCACTAGTCACATTTGACAGAGGATATGTCTGCTAACCTGTAACAGTGCAGCTTCCTTTGTTGATGGAACCGTTTCTTCTACAGATGCCTCTTGGAGAGGTGGATTAATTGTGGTAGCTATGTTGACAGGACTGTTCCTTTGATCTAGATGTATCTATCTTTGGGATTAGGATGACCTAATTACAGCGCTCAGGACGTTACATTTTTTCACAACCCTGAGTGGCATAGCTAGGTGAGTCTTAATTTTGGAGTGTAGGCCAAAGTGAGAACTCTATTCCCCCCCTCTCCTTCTGGAATAGTGTAGCTATGTGCTTCCCTTCCCCTTAGGCTAGTTTGCAAGGTGCCAATCCAGCCCCATGTAACTACCAACAACATCACTCAAGTTGAAGGGTCTCATTTTTAAAATGTTAAAACAGGTAAAAGTTTTTGTGAAGAAAACATTAAGTGCTGATTTGTGTGATTGCTATACTGTCATTAATTGTTACAAAAAGGCCAGCACAGCCTTCTAAAGCAGGCATTTGTAACCCTTTTCTTTCTGGTTAACCCCCCCTCCCCCCCATGTGCTATAAAATTTCCTGGCTTAGCTGAGCCATAGCAGTTATTTTTCTGTACATAAAAGCTGGGGTAGCAAGTAGGACAGTTGCCTGTGGCCCCATGCCGCAGGAGGCATCATGAAGTTAATTTGCTCAGACTTCATCTTAGCCCTGGGTGGTGGTACTTAGGACCCCAGGCCACAGTCCCATTTGGCTTTCTGTCCTTAGCGAGTCTAACCCCAGTCATATTTGGTGGAGTCCCTGAAACTTGCTTATTGTTCCCCTGGAGATCCTGGACCCCTAGTGGTCTAAAGCACACTTTGATCTCTGTAATAGATGTACAGAAATTTTTATTATCCAATTAGAATTTACTGCATTGAGTATTTCCTGCCAGGAAGTGCCATCCCTGAGTCTGTTGTTTAGTTTAATGGAAAGCAAGCCTTTTGTCAAACACAGATATGTGTTATTAAATCTACTTTTTTCTTCATTCTTCCTCTCCACTCCAAAAGTGCATTTTTTAGTGAGATGACATTTTTGGAGGGAGCTATAGAATCAAAATACACCAGATTTAATCAAAGGATTTATTGTATTAAAAACATTTGGGATTTGTTTGGTGCGCAGATTTGCATTTGGAAATACAGCTATGTCAGTAACTAATTTAACATACTTCATTTCTCTTTTTTCCCCTGAAGTTGCACATGCTTGGTGAGGGGAGTCGTGGAGCAACACTGGAAATGATTCTTGCAAAAATTCTCTACACCAGCAGTAAGCACTTCCTGCATCATTACTACAGTTGCCTTTTTTTAAAAAACTTGTAAAGTAACAACTTTAGATTTATCTCAAGTTATACAACTTTTAACTCTGCTATGTAATAATGTATTTCACCATGGATCACTGTGATTATTTGTTCCTTATTTGTAGAGCTTGCCATACATGAGGTGGCCCTGTAGTAGTTCCCTTCCTTCATCTCTGGGAAATTCCAGTGTGTTGTGAACTCTTCCCTCAAGAGTGATTTCAGACCCTTCCTGTTAAATGTTTATATAAAGGCCTTGGGAAACACTGAAACATTATGCACTGCATAGAGAGAATCTTGGCATGTAAGCCCTGACTCCATGCATACTTGGGTGCTGAAGCACCTACAGAGAAAATTCCATCAACTACTCTATTAGCTGATTAATCAAAATTTAACATTCCTATTGCGTAAATAAATATCTTAGAATGCCTTTTTCTGTGATCTGTCTGTGACTAGCCCAGAGACTTCCTTTTTGAATACAGACTTTGCCACAGTATTGCCATGTCTTTTGTCTCACAATGCAACTGAAACATGATGGGCATCTGCAGTCTTCAGCTGATGCAGAATACAACAACCTGCCTTGTCAGTGGGAGGAGTGGATGAGAACATCGAGCCATGTGCTCTTCAAGTGGGGCACTAATGGTTACTTGGGCGTTTTGAATAAAATTCAAGAACTCTAAATATGTGTTGTCAGTGACCCAGTTATTTAGAAGATACCACTTTCTCTTCTGTCTAATGACAATTAAGGCCTTCCATATCATAACCCATCAAGGCCTTGAAGCTCTCTCTCTAAGGTTAGCAGCAGATAACTCTTAGTTCATGGGTACCTACTTTTAAAACTTGCTTCTTATCACAATCTTCTAGATCCTGCTGGAGCTTTAACTTACACTGAAAGGCTCTTGTGTTTGTTGCTTTTTCTTTTTTGAGCTGTTTGGTTGCCTTTACGCTACAAGAGGCTATATGAAAGGCAGGACAGTTTGAGTTAGTCTTAAGCCCTCTGTGTCATAAAACAGTGGCTAATACTGCTTTGTAATTTGGCTCTTAAATTCCATTACCTTCATGGATTTAAAAAATGCATTTGTATCTCTTGACACGCACAAGTTGAGTGCCAATGGATTCATTGTGCCAATGAACAGTTGAAGTGTTTCATTGAGAATCTTCAGAACTGCCAAATTAAAGCCTTACTTAATGGTCTAACCAGTGACCACTGTGAAAGCTTTAATTCTGCCACAGGTAGTAATGTTTCTTCTTCCCTTAAATTTTCTCTTAACAAAATTAGGTTGGGTTAACAACAGTTGGGTATGTTATGGCAACTATTGTGTTAACATGTATTCATTGTTAACTAGAACTTTGCTAGTATTATGATAACTGGCATTGAAATAGGTATGTCTGCACCTTTTCTAGCTTCCTTTCCTTTTTTAAAAAAAAGTGACATAAAATTGCTGTGTAGACATTCAGGCTCTGGTTGGAGCCTGAGCTTTGGGATCCTGTGATGTGGGAGTATCCCAGCACCCAGGTTCCAGCATGAGTCTGAACATCTGCATAGCAATTTTTAGACCTGTAAGCCAAGCCCCAGTCAGCAAACCCAGGCCAGCTGTGACTGCTGCAAGTCTTTCATTCCAGGGTAGACATCCCTTTATGACCAGGATACTGGCTTCCAAAGGACTCCGTTAATAGCTGCTAACAGCTCCCAGTCACAACTCTCTTGTACACCAGAAACATTATTCAGAAGTCTACAAATTTAGTTCTGGATTGACAGCTCTAGCAACTGAAGACCTCCACAAAACAGGGGCACTGCTACATCTGGCAACACGTACAGCATAGCTGAAATTCAGTCAGGACAAGTCTTGCAGTATTGCAGTTCATCATATTAAGACATGTTCTTAACACTATGCAAAAACTCTTCTATTCCATTTCTGAGGGTGTCATATTGACTGTGTATGACAACCCTTGCCTGTGTTATCAGCATGCCATCATTAATCTATTTTACTGTGAGGGGTGTTCAAAACAGCCTCTTATAAACTGCTACCTGGGAAGGTAAAGTGATCTATAGTTTTTGTGGAAGATCAAATGTTTTTTATGAACCCAGTAATCTTACAGATTGTTATAGGAGGGGCCAGTAGTTGACCATATCAGTTACACTATCACCTCATTAGACAATAAAGTAATGAGCTCTTTCCTGTGTTGCTGCTTATTTATTTATTTGTGGGTGTGCTGATTATATACTTGGGACTGTTCAAAAATACTTCAAGAGGAAAAATAGTATTGTGCTTCTCTATGAGGGGGAAGAAAAATGTTGTATTTTTAACATTAGTCTAATCTAATCTGATACTGTACTACAAACCCTAAAATGCCTTAATTGTATAGTTATTGTATGGTGTCACTACACAGAGTGGAGATAAAATTTTTGGGTGATCAAACTGTATATTTCCAGATCATAATTTATTTATTTGCTTTTAATTTGTAACCTCAACCCTGACTTTCCTGGATTTTTGATGCTTGGTTTTAAGGTTAAATTTCAGGGAAGCTGTAGTGTGTTACCATAAATTACTGCTACAGACTCTCAACCTTAACTCTGTTTTAATGTTGTTTTTGCCTGGGATTTATACAATACCCATCACTGTGGTATGTATGTGCCTGTATACTGCATGTTAAACTTGGGCTTATAATGAAGAAATCCCATGCTAGCTACAGCAATAAAGCTAGCAAATACAATACAAGAGTGTTATTGCACATGACCCATTCACATCTCAGGTCCTTTTAAATTTCATTGACTAACAAAGAGCAAAGACAAGATGACTGTAGTTCTGGGCAACCCTATCCTCTGAACAACTGTAAAATCAAATGCAAACAATAGGAGCACTGGCTTGAGACTAGATGATGGTTTTGCCTTTCCTTCCATTTCCTCTCCTACAGGTTGGACGCCCCTGGTCCAGCACCCTTGGGACCTGAGCTGTCCCAGACCAGAGAATTTGCCAGACCAGGGAAGGTCAAGGCTCCACTGCTGGCTTTCCCCACTGATGACTCCTCTCTCTGGGACTCCCAAGTCTGGGGCTCCCCGCAACTCCCAAGGCCGGGGCTCCCCCTTGCTTCTTATCACAATCTTCTAGATCCTGCTGGAGCTTTAACTTACACTGAATTTGCTTCTTGTCACAGTCTTCTAGCTCCTGCTGGAGCTTTAACTTACACTGAAAGGCTCTTGTGTTTGTTGCTTTTTCTTTTTTGAGCTGTTTGGTTGCCTTTACGCTACAAGAGGCTATATGAAAGGCAGGACAGTTTGAGTTAGTCTTAAGCCCTCTGTGTCATAAAACAGTGGCTAATACTGCTTTGTAATTTGGCTCTTAAATTCCATTACCTTCATGGATTTAAAAAATGCATTTGTATCTCTTGACACGCACAAGTTGAGTGCCAATGGATGGTTGTGACTGTGAACAGTTCAAGTGTTTCATTGAGAATCTTCAGAACTGCCAATCATTGTGCCAATGAACAGTTGAAGTGTTTCATTGAGAATCTTCAGAACTGCCAAATTAAAGCCTTACTTAATGGTCTAACCAGTGACCACTGTGAAAGCTTTAATTCTGCCACAGGTAGTAATGTTTCTTCTTCCCTTAAATTTTCTCTTAACAAAATTAGGTTGGGTTAACAACAGTTGGGTATGTTATGGCAACTATTGTGTTAACATGTATTCATTGTTAACTAGAACTTTGCTAGTATTATGATAACTGGCATTGAAATAGGTATGTCTGCACCTTTTCTAGCTTCCTTCCCTTTTTTTAAAAAAAAGTGACATAAATTGCTGCCTAGACACTGAATTTTTGTTGTTTTTATACATGCTATATCTTGTAACATTTTTAACATTTTGTGTCTTCTAAAAATAAATATTTAGTTTCAAGCTTAGACATGTAGTCAACATTTACTTTTCTATTTTTTGTAGAAACTACTCAGATCATTGGAATGAGTGCAACATTAAATAATGTTGGAGACCTGCAGCAGTTCCTGCAAGCGGAGTATTACACTAATAATTTTAGACCAGTACGTGTTCAAGACTAGGGTAAATTATTGCTTAACATTTTTAGAGTTAAAAATGACTTGGTTTCACACTTTGAGCTTTCAACACACTTTTTGTACCAACACTGGTAAAGCAGTATAACCCCCAAGTGCAGACACTCTAATACCGGTATAAAGGTGTTTGTATCTATGCAGCTTATTTCCATAAATTTAAATGCCTTTTTATACCAGTATAACTGTCTGCACTTGGGGATTATACTGCTTTAATTGTGTTGTCACCTTTCCAAATTCTGTAAATAGCCCAGCCCTTCTTTGTGATCAAGAAGCACTTGTATTCTGAGCGCTTTTTATCAGTTGCTTTGGTTACTTAAAAAAACAAAACACAACTTTGGGGCTCAAATTTCTTACTTTTTTTTTCCATATGTCTGGGGGGGAGGAGAGGGGAGAGTGTACAGTCTGATATTTACAAAAGTGTTCCTGTGTTTTGAGAATTAAAAAGATGTCTTTCGTTGTTTTGGATTGTCTAGGTTTCCAGGGACAAATCACATTTATTTTCTGAAAGCTAGGTGGCAGCAGTGGAATTGACACACACAAAAAATTAT